CACACACACACACACACACACCACCCCTGATGCCCCTGCCCTCCCGCTGAAGTGAAGCAAACTCACGCAACCGCAAAGAAATGGAGCCACCGTGGCAGGGGGCGTTGCGGCACCCGACTGACGCGAACGCCCATGAGTCTGTCGCATCGTCTGCGCCTGCCGCCGAATCGTACGTCTACGCCTGCCGCAAGTGTAGACGCGTCTTGTTCAGGCAACAGGAGCTCGTGCCGCACGACGCTGAGCCCGGCAGCTGCGGCAATAAGGGTTTCAAACAGCGTGGTGGGGGCCATGCCTCGCAACAGCAGCAGCGCGAGGTTTGTGCGGCGCGGGAGGGCGAGGTGTGCACAAGCTACTTTCTTGACCCAGACGTCTCACCGTGGGTGGCGGAGGAGAGCCGTGAGGTGCATCAGATGAGTGGCGGCGCCGATGTTCTGCCAGACACCATCTACTGCCCCAATCGCAGCTGCCGCGCGAAGATTGGAACGCAGTCGTGGGTGGGCTCGCAGTGCTCCTGCGGCGCGTGGGTGGCACCGGCGTTCAAGATTCACAGTCGCGTGGTGGACAAAATGCCAGCTGTGTAGCCGTGCACAAAGCGAGTGAGAGAGGGAGAGGCAGACGCGTCGCCAAGCTTCCCTTTTTGTGTGCGCCTGGTGGTGTTCGACCCTCGCTTGCCGGCTGCGGCGCATAAGCGAAACGAAGCTGCCAGCCGTAGGCGGCGCCCGTGCAGGCAACACCGGCGGGTGGTCTGCTCTTGACCATAACCCTGCAAGGCACTCGCGGGTCTCTTCCTTGCGGCTGCTGCTGCTGTTGTTGTTGGCTCTCTCCCACTTCTCCCTCCTATGTTCATTTATTTTATTCTTCTTGTCTTCCACTCTTTCTCTCATGCACTCACTCACTGTAGCCCAATCTCCCCCACGCACGTAGGCAAAGTACACCTTAGTCCACACACACACTAAAAAAAAAGCTTTTTTTTTTTGTTCTCCCTCGTTCCACGCTGTGGCGGGTGTGTGCTCCCGCCGCTGTCGCCTGCTTCTTTTACGCTTCGCCCGCGGGCAGGCCGGGGGTGACGCGGAGGGGCAGAGAGGCCAACGGAACACATGCAGGGCGTGCAGGATGCCCTTCCCTGCCTCGCCGGCGGTGGGGTTGTTGCTTATGTGCGTTTCTTGCTGGAGTGGACCGACGCCGCGCCGCTCACCGCAACCGGGCGGGTGCACCACTGCCTCGTGAGCCTCGGCGACGACGACGGGGAGGAGGAGGAGGTGCTCTCACCGCACACCTTCAGGCGCGAACGGCTGCCCGCGTTGGTGGAGCGGGTCTCGGAGGGTGTGGCGCGGGGGAAGGCGCGCGCCGTGTGCCCGGCGGTGGTGCGCGCGGCCGTGAGACACGTGATGTCTGACGGCTCTGAGGGCACCTCCCGAGACCGCTGCGTCTCCTCCACGCGGCAGCTAGCGGCTGCAGAGAAACTTCTTGCGGTGGCCCGCAGTACGCAGTACCGCGGCTCCCTCGTTCTTTTGCTGTTCCACCCGAATGAGGCGGTTAGTATTTGGTCGCGCGAGACGCTTCTGCGGCTGGTGAACCTCGCGGCGGCGGCGTCCGCGGAGGCGCAGGTCGCGGCAGACAACTTGTGGCTCTTGGGGATGCAGCTGCTGTGCACAATCAAGCACGCCACCTCCACTCCGCTGGAGCTGCATGAGAACGGGACAAAGCGTCTTGTCGCCGACGGTCTCTGCAGTCTGCTGGCAGTTCTCACCGCATTAGACACGAAGCTCGCGGAGCTGGAGCGTACGATGCTGCAGGCCGCAGCCGCGGGAGGCGACAAAACTCCGTCCCTCTTCGGCGGTGTGTCGACGGCGACCGTTCTCCTGCTCGGCGGCAGCATGTTGCTGTACTGGCTCACTTCCATGGGTCCCGCGGCCGACACGCCGCCGGCGTCCGTCATAGAAGAGTTGGCGGTGCTGCTGAACGCCCAGATGGGAGACAACACGACGCTGCAGCCTGCGTCACTCGCCAGTGACACACAGCGGGCGCTGGTAAAGGTGCTCGTGCACTGTCTCCTTGACAACGCTAAGCTTGCCGCGACGGCATCGCGCGAGGAGGCCTTGTGCTGCGCAAGACGCATGCGGGAGTTGTGGTGTGTGGCGTCGCGCATCGACCCGCCGTCGTCAGCGGCTTCAAGAACGAGGTTGCCTGCCAATGGCACTGCCTCTCCTCCACCGGCGAAGGCGGCGGGTTGGTTACTGCGGTTCCTGATGCGCAATGCATCCGTGCAGCTGAACCTGCCGACGGCGCTGCGTGGGGCGGCGGGAGGTGCTCCAAGCGATGCCACCTTTCACACGATGGAAGTCGCCGTGCACGCCCTCCGATGTATGCTGACGTCGCTGGCAGAGGCGCTCCCCGCGTTGGCGGCCTCGCCCCACTACCATGAGTTTCTGGCTTCCATGCAAAAGGACTGCCTGACGTTAACGGCTGCCGTCGCCTTGCGGGCTCAGCAGCCGCACGTCACCCTGATGGTTTTACGGCATTTTTTGCTCACAGATTTAGCCTTATTTGGCCGTGGCCGTCCTTCGAACCCCGGGGAATGTCTTCGGATCGCGTGGGAGGTGCTTCCCGAGTTATTGCAGCGGGCCATCATTCAAGACGGCGGCCAGGCGGCCCCCGCCTCCCCGCGTTCGCCATCACCGCTGCTGTTGCTGCGGGTGCTCGAGGTGCTGGATGTCGCCACGGAGGAGTCCCCTGCATGCGCCTGGCTGCTCCTCAGGCCCCTCAAGGACGGGCCGCAGCCGCTGGCGCGGGTGGTGGGGAAGTGCCTGGAGCGGCTCACCGACACCGTGCGGAGGTCCATGAGGGAGATGCGCCAGCAGTGGGAGGAGGCGATGGTGGCGGAAGGCAACAGCCGCACCGGCGCTAGCAGCGGTGGGAGCCGTAACTGCAACACTAACAGTAACGCCTGCTACGGTTACGGCGGCAGTGAGGTCAGCGGCACCCTCAACCCGGAAAGCACGTCTTCGGTGGCCGCCTCGCGGCTTCTTTCCTCCGCCTCATGCATCCCGCGTGTGGCACACGTGCTTATGCTCTCCGCGGACACCGTGACGCGTCGTCTGGGGGAGGCGCTCTCTGCCCTCTTCCTCCACTGCTTCAGCTCAGTCGTGCACGGCACCTTCCGCGCCGATGCGGCGAACTGGCTGCTGCAGTTGATTCTACACGACCCCGTGCTCGAGGAGAACAAGCTGAAGCTGCATGACGCGAAGGTTGACGCAGTCGCCCGGGCCAGTGGGGAGACGTGGGTGACGGTGATGCGCAGCTGTAACTGGAGCAGCCTGACGCCGGAGATCGGCGCCACGTGTTGGTGGCTGTGTGCGCTTGTGGCCGACGTCTGCGTGCTGGCGAAGCCGCTGGGTGACCAGCTGCTCGACCTCGTCGTCACGCAACTCCCTCCCCTCACTGGGGCCGCACAGACGCGTCCCACCGCCGCCGCTGTCAGCGCCGCCTGCGAGGAGGAGGCAGGCTCTTCCCACACCCAGCAGTCCCTGCGTCAGTGCGCGCAAAACCTGCTGCTCGTGCTTCTGCGGAAGTGCTCCTTGTATTCGCCGACCGTATTTGCCCGCGCCCTTCTGCATGTGGCTGCCGCGTCCCCACCTCCAACGCGGTCCCCGTCGGATCGGTCGTTTAAGGCGACCCTTTCCAAAGACTTTGTGGGCGTGCTACAGAAGCTTCCGGCGGAGGCGAAGGAAACGCTGACCGAGTACGCCCCGAGCTGGTTAGCGGAGATTCTTCGCTCCACACAACAAGGCATCGACGACAGTGTGGCGGACCAGAATCGCCGGTTCCAGAAGTACGAGTTTGAGGAGAAGCAAATGAAGTTGCTGGAGGAGGAGGACCGCAAGCGGGCGAGGCAGGAGGAACAGCTGTGTCGCGCGAACAGAGAGCAGCGTCGACGGGAGCTGGAGAGTGGGCGTGAGCAGCCAATAAACGGCAGCAGCAGCAGCAGCAGCAGCCCATCTGTCGCCACGCTTAGGGCCACCGTGAAGCGCCCGCGTGACGATATGCCTTCACTGCTGATTGCACAGACAGACCCCGACAGTGGCGAGCTGCTGCAGCAGCAGCTTGGGCCACGCTTGCGCGCCACGGAGCACGTTGGCGCCGTCGCAGGTGCCGCACAGAGACCAGCGGCGGTGGCACCGCCGCCGCCCACGGCACTGCAACGGCACCTGCAGCAGCTTGGGGAGAAGCGAGTAAGCGAGCTCATTCGTGTGGAGAATCTCAACAAGACCGTGGAGGCCATTCGTCGCATCGCTGGCAGCACCGACGTCTCGCGCCGCCCTCCGCTAACAGACGACATCATCGGTCACGGGCGATATTGTTTGGCCGTTGAGTTGCCAGTCATTCCGCACCAGTTCACGGCGACCACAAACGCGGCTGGCGACCTTTACGTGGCGTCGTTTCTCCCGCACATTGCGCTCGAATTGCGCTATGAGCTGCACCAGCGGTTTGACGAAGTAATGGACCTCTGCCGCGCGCGGGAGGTGGCAAACCAGCGGGGAGGGGGCCGGCCAAGGACGGCGGCTGCGGCGGCGGCGGCAGTGCGGGCCCAGGCGACCAAATCCCCCAGAAACGGTGGCCTTCCCACGCCATCGCCGTGGATCACCGACAATGCAATGCCTGTGGTGTGCGCGGGCGATGCCGCGCTTAGCCCGCTGGACCCCACCTGCCTGCAGCTTCGTGTGATGCTGACGGCGGCGCCTGGTACGGCCTCTGTGGCGTCGCTGAGCGCGGGGCTCTCAGAGGGCGATGTCGCGCTTCTCCTGCTGCCGCTTCCTCACATCGCCGCCGCCCTGCCGCAACTCTTCAGCGAGGCTGACGGCCGCGGTATGATGCCGGATGCCTGGCGCGTGCTTGGGTGCGTTCCAAAATTGTGTCTGGTGACTTCACTGCCGCCGGGGCAGCGCACGGCGGCCCTCACGCTATTCACCTCATCGGCGGCGGCGGCTTCGTCTTCCTCCTCCGCCGCTGGCGGTGGCAGTGGCAATGAAACCATGTCGGTAAACTTCTCGCATGCGCTGCGGGCGTTTGTTTCCTCGCAGTCACACTTTTACGTCAAACGCCTCGCCCCACTTGGGCCGTCACTCGCTGCCGTGACTGCGCTACACGGCATCCGGCGAAAGATATTTGCCCGCACCCTGCTGGAGCCGCACTCGGAGGCCAGGGTGAGTCGTGCGTATCATCACGCCATTGAGCGGGAGCTCGTGTTGAGCGAGCACTGGGGGGAGCTTTCCAGTGGGCTTCTGCTGCACCATTGCCTTAATGACTGGCAGAAGCGCGCCATTGTGGCCGCTCTCTTCGCCGTCGCCCCAGGGTGGGAGGCTGCCGCGCTTAAGTTGCCGCTGGCCGCCTCACCCCTGCCAAAGCCGCCGGATCTGTTCCTTATTGAGGGGCCGCCAGGGACGGGTAAAACGCAAACGATTGCGGCTCTCACCCTCAACCTGCTGCAGCACTTGCAGAAAGCGGCTCGCCGGGTGCTTGTGTGCGCCCCTTCCAACTGCGCCGTGGATGAGGTGCTGCTGCGGATGCGAAATCTCGCAAGGCGTGTGCCGCAGCTTGGGGATGTGCAGCTCCTTCGCGTTGGTGTACGCGACAATGTGGACCCCGCGGTGTTGGCGGCCTCACCGCCCCTCTTTCTTGATGACTGTGTAGGGGCATTGACAGATGCCTTCAGCACCACTCGCCCCGGCGCTTCAGGGCGCGTGGTGCGTAACGGTGGTGCCGATCTGGCGGTGAGCGGCCGTCGCCAACAGCTACGTGAGCAGGTGCTCTACGGGGCCAACGTGGTTTGTTCCACGTTGGGGTCGCTGAGTCAGCTGCAGCGCACCGACTTTCTCTTTGATGTGGTGATTGTGGATGAGGCCTCGCAGGGCACTGAGCCTGATGTCCTGCAGGCGTTGATGCTGGCGAAGAGCCGGGCGGTTCTTGTCGGCGACTCCAAACAACTGCAGCCAACGATTCTCTGCCAGGCCGCTGCTGCGCGTGGGCTGAAGCGTAGCCTGCTGCAACGCCTCTTGCAGCAGGGGCACCGCTCCTACTTGTTGCGTGTGCAGTACCGTATGCACCCTGACATCTGTGCGTTTCCGAATCGCTACTTCTACGGCAAGAAACTTCTCACGCATGTCAGTGTGATGACGCGGCAGCGCGGCGCGGCTTCGCAGGCGCTGCCTCTGTCAGCTGAGATGGAGAAGGTGCCGCGGTTGGTGTTTGTGGACGTGCAGGATGGACGCATGGAGTGGGGCAGAGGACGCTCGCTGATGAACAGTCAGGAGGCAGACGCTGTGGTGCTGCAGATGCGTCGCTTCCGTGCGACCCTGCACCTCACCCCGGAGGAGTTCGCCCGCCGGACTGGGGTCATCACCTTCTACCAGGCGCAGAGGGAGGCGATTCTGAAGCGGCTTTCCCGCGAGGAACGCGGCAGCGCGCTGCAGGTTGCCACTGTGGACAGCTTCCAGGGGAAGGAAAAGGACATCGTCTTCATCAGCTGCGTCCGCGCCCCGCACGCCGTGCCGCGCTTAGACGCCGCACCGACGCTTGGCTTCTTGGAGGACTGGCACCGCATCAACGTCGCACTCACCCGCGCCAGGGAGTTTTGCGTGGTATTTGGGCACGCCCAGACGTTTCTTGCCGCCGCGTCGGCGAAACAGCAGCAACAGGGACAAGAGGCACAGCCGCTGCCCGGGTGCGGAAGCGGGAGCGGGGGGAACGATGACGACGACGACGACGACGATGTCATTTGCGAAGCCACGCCACCGCCGCCAAAGTCGGACGACGATCCCCTTGTTCTCGCTGAGCTGGTGAAGTACGTAGCCGCTGCGGCGCAGCGGAACCACGTTGGCAGCGACGCTGCCGCGGCGATGTTCACCGGCAGCAAAAACCTGAATCTGCTGAGTGAGCTGCTCTCGCAGTCGCACGGGGAGCGGCGACCATAGGGCCCAACGGGAACGAAGGCAACACGCTGATTGGGGGGGGGGTGAAGCGAGGGGTTGTGCGTCTGGGTAAATGCTTGAATGGAGTAACCGGCGTATTTCATCTCTTCTTTTTTCTTCTGCTTTTTGTGGTGTCCGCGTGCATCGCGGCCCTCTATATATTTTCTTGACGCCGACGCCGTAGCGCATCGCTTTGGGGGGGGGGGCTGGA